GATTTGTTTTTAAATTCCGACTCTTTCATATGAAAGAGCATTAAAAACTGAACAAAACTCTATAATTACTATTTGGAAAGCAACGAATTTAGTGAGGTTTTAGCGTGATTTTCAGAGTATGGTCTTCTGTAATTAGATATAGTACTCATTATTTTCAATAAACTCAACCATGAAATGACACATCAATTACGTGAAAACTGACGCATTTTGAAGAGCATCACTTCTTCTTTCAAACGGCATATAGTAAGAACCCAAACAAGATATTCAATTTTATTTTAACTAAGGTTTTTTTAGTTTTTAATTCTAATTCTGAACTCTAAAGCTATAACTAATTGTTATATTATTTTAAGTCATCAAAATGTCGAACTCCACAAATTTAAAGCCTAATCAACGAATGAAAATAATCACAACAGGTTTGCAAATTGAAAACTCAGGTCAAAAAGTTACTTATGCGGAATTGTCAAAAAAGACAAATTTCGATAAAAGAACTTGTAAGCTATGGTGGGATCGAAAAGATTTATTGTTGAAAACAGGAACATTATGTGATCGTAAAAAAGGAAGATCAGGTCGACCAATTCATCCATCAGTTTCAAACAAACAAAAAATCGATCATGCAATTACCGTATGTGAAAATTTGGGAGTTCGAGAGCATTTACCAGATGCTGCAAAGCAACTAAAATGTGCAAAAACTACCTTAAAGAAGTATTTGAAAAACAAAGTTACATGGAAAAAACCATCAAAGAAAGAAAAAAATCACAATAATTATGTTTCTGCTAAAAGAATTAATTTTGCTCAAGCGTTGTTGAATAGACGTGGTGAATTAAAAAACATATTTCGAAACGTTACATTTCTTGATCACAAAAAAACTTATGCATACGGTCAAAATTGGACACATTAACGTCAATGCCGAAGAAAAGGATCAACAAAACCATTAAGACCTTTAATAGTCGCAAAGACTAATCCATCCATTCATGGTATGTTTGTTGCAAATCAACATGCCTGTGACGTTTATTTACATGGAAAACGTCAATTACGCCCAAGAAAACGAGTGGAAACATGGGTTGATGAACAAGTAAATGAAGAATCGTACTTACGTGGTTTAAGAAATTGTGTCGTTCCATTCATGAAAGCAAGTAATTCAAAAATATTGATGTCAGATTGTGTAAATTTAAATCATACATCAAAAATTCGACAACTTTTATCTAACAACGAAATAGAATTATACGGAAGTGCTGGATACCATCATCAGGTTGAGGGCGGCTATCCACCGTATTCTCATGACTGTTCTATATTGGATTCATCAATGTTTGGAACCTTTCAATCTCAGATTGGTGATGAAATTGCAAGCAATACAGATTTGGTACATTCTGACGATGTTTTGATCCATATGAGTGAAATAATTCCACAAATCTGGAAATCAAATAAATACAAAATCATTGCAAAAAATCACATTGCCGGATATACAAAACGATTGCAATCAATAATTGACAATAATGGCAATATAATTACTAAATATAAGTAACTTTTTGTTTTTAGCCTTTTATATATGTAAATTTTTATAATTTGTATATATGCGAAAAAATAAAAATGTACATGCTTCTTTGAGACCTTACTGTATCTCATTTGAAAGAAGAAGTGATGCTCTTCAAAATGCGTCAGTTTTCACGTAATTCATGTGTCATTTCATGGTTGAGTTTATTGAAAATAATGAGTACTATATCTAATTACAGAAGACCATTCTCTGAAAATCACGCTAAAACTTCACTAAATTCGTTGCTTTCCAAATAGTAATTATAGAGTTTTGTTCAGTTTTTAATGCTCTTTCATATGAAAGAGTCGGAATTTAAAAACAAATCGAAATTTTATTAACTATTTACTAATTACCATTAACTGATAATTAACTAATAATTAACTATAATAAATTTAAGTGCTTGTTACCAAAATGTAGCCCGTGAAATTCTGCATCGAANAATTGTATTATTTATATAGTTATTAAATAAATAAGTCTAGCTGCTGTTAAACATTTCATACTTTAAATTATTAATGTTGCCCATCAACAAACACAACTAAATTTGAACGAAATAGTTATCGTGAATTAAAATGGATTTAACCATCACCTGGAAAATATGATGATTCTGATCGTTATGTTTCTTTATTATGTTCAAAATCAGGATCATTTCATTATTTTTTTACTATTTATAGAACAACGTGAGTTTTTAAAATTTTTTATCTTTAAATTAAATAAATATTTATTATTTATTTAGATCAATAGAAAATCGAAATAGTCAAGGTTATTTTCATGTTGAACCATATTTAGTTTGACCAGATGGAAATGGTCAAGTATTAGAACAAGAATATATAACATGCCAATCAGTTTTATCGAAATCATTAGGTCCATTTATCAGAATGGTTATCACATATTGAAGTTGGATATCATTCTGGTTATAATATGATACATTTTACACCAATTCAATCTCTTTCTAATATATCAAATTCATCATATTCAATAAAAAATCATGATAAATTAAATGAAAATTTTCAAGGAACATTTGAAGAATTAAAAATTTTAATTGATCAAATGGCTAAACAATGGAAAATATTATCAATAACTGATCTTGTTTATAATCATGTTGCAAATGATTGTCAATTACTTAAAGAACATCCAGAATCTGCTTATAATTTAATAAATTCTACACATTTAAAACCAGCTGTACTTCTTGTTTCAATATTAATACAATTTACTCGTGATGTAAGTGAAGCAAAAATTTTTATTAAAAGATATTCAAGATAATATTGAAGAACATCATTTACAATTAACTCGTCATTATTTACTTGATGAAATTATTCCAAAATATCGTTTATGGGAATATTATATATGTGATATTGATTTATTAATTGAACGATTTAATAAAAAATTATCTTTATTAGATGATTGTCCTGATAAACCTTTATAGAATGATGAAAATTTAATTGAAATAAATCATAGAATATATCAAAGAATGAAAAGTTCAATTCATCTTAATTTAGCTGAAAAAATTTATTTTTATAAAAGAGAATATTTATCTAATAAACAACAATGGATAAATGAAGTATGTTCGAAATTACGTGATCGTATTGAATATTTAAATAATTTAATTCGAGATAAATTAAATGTATATTTAAATCGTGCTATTGATAATTCAAAAGCTTCATGTCGTTATCATTTTTTTTTCATCAGATGGACCAAAATATACTAAATTATCTTTACCATCAACACCATTTGTTGGAAATTATTTTTATTATCCAAATGGTGAATTTAAACATCCAGATGATATTAATCCATTAATTGAATATGATTCAAATTATCAATTATATGTTATGGCTCATAATGGTTGGGTTATGAATGAT